GTACTCTGTGTGCGAATGACTTGCTGTTGGGGCAAAAATTTCCAATTCCGACTTAATGCTCGAGATTGTTGGCAATTCATTTTCCGATTTGAGTTTCTTTGGGATTCCTTCCCGCGCCTTGATGTCCTTTTACGGGAGTCCCTTTCGCCGGCTGGATGTGATGATAGGAATTCAAATTTCTGTTTTGATTTTCTTTCGCAGGACTTCCTTCCCTCGCTTTGATGTCTTTGCGGGCATTCCTTCCCGGCTTTCTTGAATTCTTTGCAGGATGTTCCCTTCCCGATTTGAGTGAGGTGCCAGAGTTCCCATTTCGGACCTTGATTATCTCACGGCGATTCCTTCCCGCGGTTGATGTCTTTGCGGGATTCCTGTCCCCAACTGGATGTCTTTGCGGGATTCCCTCCTGCATGAGGACACCCGACTGTGATCGTTGATGTGTCCAGAGTTCATTTCCTGACTTGATTTCTTTCACGGGATTTTCCTTCCCGGCTTTGATGTCTTTGCGGGATTCCTTCCCGACTGGATGTCTTTGCCGGATTCCTTCCCGACTTGAGGTGATGCAGAGTTCATTTCTGACTTGATTTTTCACGGGATTCCTTCCACGGACTTTGATGTCTTTGCGGATTACTTGTCCGATCTTTGGATGTTTGATGTGCAGAATTTATCTTCTGACTTGATTTTCTTTCACGGGATTCCTTCCCGGCTTGATGTCTTTACGCGGTATTCTTCCGACTTTAATGTTGATGCAGAATTTATTTCTGACTTTGATTTCTTCGCGGGATATTCCTCGGCTTTGATGTCTTTGCGGATTCTTCTCCCCGACTTGGATCGAGTTGACATCAACTTATTTGACTCCGCAGCTCGAGTGTATATGCATAGTGATGACCCTAGGCGAATCTCTGATTTTGTTGTCATTAAGTGTTTAACCATTGCGGTTGACTGAAATTGGGACTTGTATTCATCACAAAGAGTTTTTGAATACCCACATTTGTTGCGTGAGTAACTATGCAGGGCTTGAGTGTTGAAGAACGCTTTTATGCTTCCTGAGGTTTATGGCTTCGTCCCCATGTCTTGAATTCTTGAGGTTATTTGGTTCCTTTCTTTGAACTCTTTTCTTAGTTGACTTGAAACTTATTTTCTCAATGGTTTCTACTTCTCCATAAGGATTTTTGAGGAGACCTCGTCCTTTTCCTTGTTCTGAGGAAATTGATCGCTTGTTTATAAGGACACTTGATACTTGTGCCATGCATTGGCAGCTTGATTTTCAAGGGTGTTTGTTGTCTTCCAACTTTTTGTGGAAATGACTGCTCCCTTTTATGCTGCTTTTTCAAAATGTGAGCAGCCGCCTTGATCTTTGTCCCTTATGGCCTCGAAATGCATACCTAAGTCCTATCTACCTTATTGGGCTTGAATTTAAAGTGGAGAGCTTGGCAGTTGACCCGTTTTTACAAACTATGTATTTCCTGAGCTTTGGTCCACTTGATTTCTTTTCTTTTCGATGCAGAAGTTCCTTTTGACCCATTTTTTTTCTTTGGCTTGTTGCTTCCTTTTGACCCAGGGGTTCCTTTCGGTCCCGTTTTTCCCTTCTTGCTTGCTTAGAAGCAGCCTCTCATAAAGAGATTTCCGAAGGCAACTTGATTCTGAAAGATGACTGGTTAGTGTATGGAAGCACTTGGCGACTGATCGTGCCAGACCCAGACCCAATTCCAAACATAACTCTTTTATTCTGTCGCTTTTAACTCAAAAATTCAGAGCACCTCTCTGTCGGGAGCAATCTTCCATCCTGGGTTTTTCGTAGAGAAACCCATTCTTGGCCCTAACCCCCCTTTCAATCCGGGCTTTACTCGCTACTGTTTGAAGTCTTGCGTACCCCTTCTTCTGGATCCTTTCCATGATTACCACCTTCAAAACTTCCCCTTTAATGCGTGCTTCTTAGGATGCCCCCAGCTTTGATTGATGCAGAGCATAATGAATGCATTTTTTCTTTGCCAATTTTATTATCTTTCTTTTTTTGTCATCATTTACTTTCAATTATTTTTTTCTTTTTCGCATTTTTTGTTTGTTGCTTTTCACAGGAAAAGACTAAGAGAGAGTCAGTATAAATATGATTTGGAGCGTAAAACTCAATCCCCTTTTTTATTGCATAAGACAAATTTTTGTTGTTTACAAAAACACTTCAAGATTACAAATTTGGAATTGAATGACAAAACTTGAATGAAGTGAAAATGAAAAGAAAAAGCAACTAGACCCATAAAAAGGATAGACTCCTAGGTGGGACCTGTGATGGAACTAGGACTTGGAATATGCTACTTGTAGTGACTTCGTTCTTCTCGATGCTTAAATCGATACCAGACACGGTGTCTGTTGTTGGTCTTGAAACAATTCCTCTTGTTCTTTTGGAGGTTGCATCTCAAACCTTCTCAGACACAACATCATTCATCTCAAGAAAAAGTTCGGGAAAGCGAGTCGAACCGATTCTTGTTCAGCAATTTTTTTTTTGTGCGTTTGATCCATGGTTTAGGCAAGGGATTTGGTTGATGTTCAGTTTGCTTCTTGAGCCGCCGATGATAGACCCATTGTCAACCAGGTCTTGTAGGCGGTTTTTTTTAAAGATTCCCAGCATGTATTCTGCTTCTTGTTTATGAGTCTTCTTTGACGCGTGGTCTATATAATATTGGATAAGAGTCTTACCATCC